GAGCTGCGCCGTGGAGTATGTGCGCCAGCAAACGGAGGCGCCTCCCCTCCGCTCCACTCCGCGCAGAGCAGCCGGGACCGAGCGCAAGGCGGCCAGCTACAGTATATACACGCGCTGTTTATATATGCTGACACCGATTTGAACAAGGAGCCTTACTGCGACTTCATCGCCAGCTGGAGGACGAGAAACGGATGACAAAATACTACTTGGCTGTCATGGATGCGCTCATATGACATCGATGACAACTAAAAGTGCATCAGGCGTTTAAATACGAGTTTAAACAATGTGTCAGTGTGTTAACGTGTAGTAACTGGTTTTGAATATAATGTAGTACAATATACTAAGCCTATATTACTACTGTATTTTAAAATGATGGACACACACACACACACACACATATATATATATATATATATATAGCCTACTCGTTTAATTACTACACGATTGTTAATCACCACAGCTGCATATTTTAAAAACTAATTGTACACTAAAAATGCGTATAGTATTAACGCAATCGCAAATTCGCAGTTTTTAAAAACATTTTGAACACGCATTTAAAGATGACGCTGTAAACCATTTACCGCTTTGTAGAGGTGTATGAGAGAAAAGGCGTGAACAGAGAGAAACACATTGCCTCGTTTTACGTCATATTGTTTGACCCCATGACGATTCTTTGCTGAGGACGTGTTGGTAATCAAAGGAAAAATGGCTTCGACAAATGCTAGTACAATTATAAAGAACGTAGAAGAGAGATAAAAATAGCGGTCCAGGTTTTAAAGGATGAAACGTACAGCACAAATAGTTACAGAACGACATCACTGTGAAAAACAGCGCTGCTTTTTTCAGCTCTATATAATAAAATAATAATAATATATTGTATTATAGATAATTATAGCAGAAAAACATTTAATATCCGACAGACAGCTTCTGTAGTTAGCTGTTCATTTTACTCATTCGCCTGATCGGACCCGCGGGGCCTCGGGTGCGCGCACCGGGTGCGAGGCGCGAGCATGCAGTCTTTCCAGAGCGATAACGCGCGGTAAGGCAGGACAGGACGCCGATCTCCGCCGACACACCAAAGATTTAGGCTGTTTTCACTCAACGGCGTGTGTCTATAAACAGCTAGCTAATGGCCAGACATTTCAGCTGCTCAGTTAAGGCTATACTCATTGAGATGACCGAACTTTATGCAGCTAACGATCACTATTGGAAACATTTCTTTCAGTTAGAATCATGGCTGGACTGGGATTAAACATTGGTCCTGGACTTCGTAGTCCCCTTGCTGAATTTTTCCTATGAGGGAATGTTGTCATGATAAATTCTGCTGGTCCACATACCCACCAGGAAAATGCCCAGCATTCCAGATGGCCAGTCCCCCCCTACTTAAAATGAATGGCAAAGTGCTGAGATAGGAGGTGGTGCTTGGTTAAAAACTGTCACGCAGCAAACCTGAAACATCTGATGAAGCGTTTCTGGCCAGACACCGATCATGCTGTTCCACCGACTATCGGGATGCTCTGGGAAGTAGCCTTGGTGTGTCCCCAGCTCAGAGCCTTCAGCGACAAGGTCACTGCAGAGGACTGCATCTGCCACACGACTTCCCACTGCCTTCCAGAGCCAAACTCGTGCTGTGTCACTGAAACTGCTCCCCAGAAGGCTGGCAAATGCAAACACACAGACGCACCGACAAGGTCGGGGGAGGGGGGCGGTTGTGACCCCTCCCTGGAGGTGATCTGCCTTGGCTCTGGTTATGCCTGTCCCTCCTACAGATACAGAGAGGCAGAGAGCCCCAATGGTGGGAGGCCAGGCATGATACCACCATCCACAGGTGGGGGAGGGGCAGGAAATGATTGTACTTATGATTATCTGTGAGGCTGGACCTGCCAATTTGAAACAATGAAAAGGGAACAGCAAAGATGAGAGGAAGCTACTCAGGAATTTGATGATAAGAAGGCCTATGATGTCATCTACTTAGATTTCCAAAAGGCTTTTGATGTTGTCCCCCACAAGAGGCTCTGACTTAAACTCAAAGCGACAGGTATTTTAGGAACTGTAGCGACCTGGATTGATAAATGGTTAACGGATAGGAAGCAGTGAGTAGTTATAAGAGGCACAATGTCACAGTGGGCCTGCGTTCATAGTGGGGTACCGCAGGGTTCAATTTTAGGACCACT